GGGGGTAAAACGAGGAAGAGAGAAAAAGAGGCGCTTTTGCTACGTGCGATCGTCGCGGGGACCGCGACATTACTCTTCCTCCTGTCTTCCTGCCGCGCTCAACGAGGCTGTTGCGCGCGATTTAGCTTTTCTTATCTCTTCTTCGAGGATTACTCAACCATCTTGTCTCTCTTTATTTCTTCCCTCTCGTGGCCGAGCCTCCGTTGTATCCCGGCCAGAGCGTCGTAGCGATAATTGTGTTTGCCTTTAATTGAACAACACGTCATCGACGATCCGGCAACAATCGGCAAATCAATGTCGCTCAATTGGAGAAAGTACTTCGTATTTGTTGTTGATGACGAAAGAGAGAGAAAAAGAGAGGAGCGCGGCGTATCCTCGCGTAATTGCAATCTGCAGCTGTTATTCTTGCGACGAGTGATTTAATTCTTTCTTTTTTCATCCAAGAGGATCCATCGTTGGTCTATGGAAGGATAGTAGCCGAGTGCAACGACCCTCCGGTGTGAAATTGCATTTTGTAATGAAAGGATGTGTGTATGTACATTCCGCCCGCGCTGGCTTGTTGCGAAAGTCCGTTTTTCTCTTGCGATGATCCGATCACGATCACAATATGATCGAGTAAACGCGACACGCAGAGAGTCAATTAACTTAAGTAAGTGCGCGGTCACGCGTGCAATGCGCACTTCTGCTCAAATGAACGGATTTTGCTTGCGAAGTAAACATTCTTTTGCCCTTAGAGGACCCTCAGCTTGCCGGAACCGTCGAGTATCATGACAATTTTAGTACGCGAAACGAATACGGGCTATTGTTTGGCGGTTTACAGATATAATAGATCAGGATATGATTTTGTAAACAGTGCATTTCCGTTTACATATAATTATGGAAGACGATACTCGTTGGAGTTTTATATCTTTTACCGCCCTCTCTTCTCCCTTCCTTGTTCGTTCTCTTGAATTTTCTTAAAGTTTCGTAATCTTTATGCGCCTCTTATTATTTTATTTCTTCTTCATATTAGTTTTTCTTATGTTACCTTCTTCCTTTACTTATAGAGAGAGAAACACACTGAGAAAGAATTAAATTTTTATAAATATTTGCTTGAATATAATTCTAAGTACATATAAAATAAATTATTTAATACAAAATCAATAATTTGATTTAACTAATATTTTTTTTTTATTAAATAAACATTTATTACTGTAAGTAAATATTGACTTAATACCATTCAAGGAAATATTCATTCAGTGCATTTTTCAGGTAATCGTTTCTTGGTAAAAAAGAACTCGCTCTCTAAAAAAAATGCTTACTTATCTATCTCTCTTCTTTCTGTTCTCTTTTTTCTTTTTTCTAACCGAAGAATCAATCATATTTCACATATTTGTATATTACATAATCATTGACTATAATACATTAAATAATTGTTACATCAGAAGGCCCCCGTGTACAGTATTAAATTATTATACAAAGTCATTATTCATTTAATTAATTATGAATAATTAATATATATATATATATAATATAATGCTATTAAATAATTTAAAACTTTTCGCTTATTGCATTATCTCATAATCTCCTCGTTAATCTATTCTGTTATAACAAATTGAATATTATCACGATAATTTTCCATAAATATGTATATACTCGCATTACTTTAAAATGCAAAAGATGTAAGTGCGAATTTCAAAGCAGACCAATTGTTTACGTTGCCGAGGAAACTACTTTTTACGATCATGAATACATACCGATTGGAGATTGTCGTTGAATAAAAATACACCTTTCCGTGTTTGTGTTGTACAAGGACGATGAGGCAATGCGCACTTACACCTTTCTCGATCACGGTTGTATACGGACGATGCTACCCATGCATTGTTGTACACTTAATAAGATTTTAGTGGGCTGGCAGACCGGAAGAAAAACAGTTCGTGCTGCAAGAAGCATTTTTTAAATCTCTTTTGAACCGACTTATACGGCTCATCGATATTGTTGATTAACTTTTGGATCTCGACACTGCAGATATCGAGGCAGATATCCGCTAATCAAATTTGTCAAAAGTAGATTTTGTAAAATCTCTACTGCAAATTTTGTCGACAAAGTATCAGCATTACATGAATGTAACACCATTTCGGATATTGAACAATTAGGCTGACGGGTTATCACTTCGACGTGTAAATAACGTCAACGTTGAAGATGTTTACTTTTTTACACAAAGAAGACAAATAGCTTGCTACCTGGGATTTTACTAACGTAATATGAGACCCGATGTTTTTTTTTTTTACCTACACTGCTTGCAACCTTTATCTTTTCTCTTTTCTTCTCTGCGAAAGAAAAAGTAGAAAGGTGAACCGTATATGCAAAAGAAAGAAAGAGAGACGTTGAACTGAAAAGAACAGACCTATGATGGCAGCTTGATTGCAGAAACCGAGCTGAATCTACCATTTCGTAATCAAGCCATTTAAACACGATTTATGGCCCTTTAAATAATTACGAAATTAACTGAACGTCTGCTCGGTTTCTGCTAGCGATCTGCTGTCAGATTATGTCAGCAGACTCTGCTGGCAGAACACGAGCTTTATTAATGCGACCGCGATTAATGTCGATCAGCTGCTCGATCTGCTAGTCCATTGTTAACACTTTATTTATTACTTTATTAATTTTTTATACTTTTAACTATCTTCCGTAATGGAATTTCTACTTTTATACTTTGGCGAAAATAAAGGTTGAAGCGTGTAATCCGAATATAAGAGAAAATTAGCAGAAGTTTAAACGAAATTTCTATAGAGGAAGCAAAAATTGGGACATCGGAAGATTTGAAATACAGGGTGAGCCAACTCTAATTTTCAACTCCTATAGAGGCGTCCCAAAAGAACTTGGATAGATGCGCACTATTCATTTAAATTTATTATATTATATTGTTAATATTATACTAATCTCTTCAATTTGCAATGGTAGGGTTATTATTTTATTTTATTAATTTTATTAATAAAATAAATAAATACTTTACTTTTCTAGCATTATATATAACTGATTAATTTGACTAGTATTTCAAGATATATTTTTATAATCCAACGTATATCAATAAAAGAATCCTATTTTTGGACTGTATCCCCCCTTACGGAAAAAAACTTGTTTTTTTCCGTAACCACCATTGAAGTGACAACTATTGAATAATTAATGCACACTAGATTAGTGCACATTACTAGTGCATACTGTACCAATAGTATTAATTTACACTACTAGGATGAATTCCATCATAAGGGCCGATATTTCAAGGTTAACATATCTCGAAATTGATCAAGGAGTTAGGCCGTCCTAATTCAAAACGTAAAACGAGCGGAAATTCCGATGTCTTACTTTACGCTTATTCTGCCACTCTTCTTTTCAGTTTTATACAAAATGTACACTAATCAACATTTACATATAAACTCTGCTTTACAAAAAATAGCATTTTTGCATCATTTTGATATCCCGATGATGTCACGAATAAAAATCCTGCCGGTGAGCCAGCTATATTTTGATGTCACGATCTAATGCGTAAAAAATAATCACATATATGTTAATAACTTATTAATTGTTTATCCTTTTTTAATTTTAAGAATTAAAAAAAAATAAAGAAAAAATTGAACCGAGATTAACGTTAATTTTATATATATTAGCGAAACAGCCTAATTCGATCAGCTCTTGGGTATGTTCCGGATCTTTCTTCTCGCCAGGATACCTATAACATAATGACAGAAAAATACAACAGGTATATATTATTATTATTGTTCGAAATTTGGGAAACGGTCTTGGGCCTAAATCGAGTGACCAGCCACAATATTAGGATGCCAGAACGACGTAAAATCCAATAAGCCTACATTAGCATTCAGCAGAAAAAAAAAAAAAATACACAATAGAACAATGCGAAATGATATATGGACCAGTCGCACGTATGGAGTACGTATACAATTCACCGTTGAAATCATTCGCTCTTATATATTATGCACGTGTATCGTCGTTACGTACCATAAACCGCGATCATTAATAATTACCAGAAGTCACGTATACGAATAACATCAATTATAAACTCGTGTATAACATGGAACGTCGCGTCAAATTGCGGGTTACATTTCGCAATACTCTCGCATAGGCGCGCATATAGAGGCATATAGCGCAGCGCGAGGCGCGATCAAGCGGGATCGAAGCAACGTGCGCGAGAGAAAAAGGGGCTCTCTGTGGCGATTCGGAAGGAACGGAACGGAACCAACCGCACACACAAGAGCCCGCAAGAGCCAGAGCGCGGCCGGCGGCGCGGCGATGTGGCGCAAGAGAAGGGTAGTCAGGGTAGGGACGGGTAACGTCAGCATGTCGCGCCTCGCTATCGTACGTAGAATCACGGGCGAATCAAACATGGCGATTCGGTCGCTGTTTACGGCACGGGCATACGGTTACTAGTGCCGCGGTGGGTGGTGCCAGTACGCGAGAGTGACTCTTCGACGCCGGTGCGTGTTCCTGCCGTCGCGTATTAACGGCTCGCGGTACGTGTCGCGGGCATGGAGCTGCACGGGGCGGAAACGACGACGAGGAAAGCGTCGGGCGACGCCGACGATGGAGCATCATCGCACGACGCGAAGGGCGTAGAAGCTGGGCCAACGCCTGCGACGTCATCGCCACCGATCGCGGAGCGAGTCGCGCGATCTGCCGGCGGGAACGCGGAGCGGAACGTCGATTGCTCGAACGGAAGGAATGTAAGGCCCGGTCGATCAATAAGTTGGAGATAAGAAGATCAATATTTTTTAAATCGCCCTGACAAGCCTTGATTCACTTGTTTGTGATCGACGATTTTATTCAAATTTGTACAATTATGTATTTCAATCGTTAAAAATTGGCTCAATTTGATAAATCTGTCAAATATATTTAGCTTGTTTGCTACAATGAGCGCCTTCAACAGACTCAACAGTTATTATAAATGGAATGCTCACTGCTATATATTCTTCTATAACTAAACACCTGATTGGATGATAAAGTTACACCAGTGGCTGCATTCAGCAGTTCATTCAACAGTTGAGTGAGCGCTCACTATTATTCTTTTAGGTCTAATCAGAATTATCTAATCAATCTAGAAGAATACAACAATAACAGCGAACGCTCACTCATCTGTCGAGTCCACTAAAATGTACCTATTTGTGTACAGTATGGAAAACTGATCAGTGATAGGCCTTTTACAATATAAGCCATAAATCAGAAATTAAAAATTGACGACTGTGATTCGTCCATTTCTAGTTTATGACTTACAATTATGGCTTATTGTAGAAGGCCCATGAGACAGTCGTAAAAGAAACATTTTACGCTAAACGCGGCAATTGGTTCCTTCTCTTAGATCCAACGAAGAACCAATCATATTAAAAGAATCATTGAGCGCTCACTGATCACTTTTCTCTACTGAATGCAGCCATTAAGGTCATGGCACACAAAAAATTTAAGACAGTTAAGCTGAAAACACAATAGGCACAGGCAATACGCGTAGGCAACAGGGAATAACGAGCCGTCCAATCAGAGCTCTGAGATACAAGTTCGATATTATATCCCAGATCTCTGATTGGACGGATCATTATTTCCTGTTGCCTGTGCCTATTGTGTTTCCAGCTTTAAAACGTAAACTGTAAGGAAATCAACATTGTGGATTTGCTACTGCTTAAGTTACGGCCTTACGGCCTCTACTGTGATTGGTCAATTCGCTTACTGCTTACGTTTTACTGCCTTGTACAATATTCAATACTAAAGACCGTTAATGTAAGAACATAATTAATACAAATACGAAGCCTATAACAGTCTAACTTGGATCTTAATTACTAATATTATAAACTACCGCAGTACTACGAATTAAATTTATTAACAATACAATAATTAATTCAATAATTAATTGATCCTCTTTTTGGCATCTTATATCGATGTTAAACTATATTAAAATTTGAAAATAATAATTCTTCTAATTGCGAAAAATATTACCTCGGCTGGGAGTCGAACTTGGATCGCTTGCTTTACGCGTAAAGGTACTTTTTCATGCGCAGCACGCTGCAGCAGCAATTCGTTACTATTGGTTAAGAATTTTATGTAAGCTAGATGACGTACTTCCGGCGCAAATACATTTTGCCGCAGTTCGTTGAAGTTGAACCGAACGAACAGCAAGCAGCAAGCGGCAAAATCGAGAAAGCGTACAATATGTCCGTCGTTTTATTATAAAAATATTATTTATTGCAATAAATATTAGGAAAATAAACGAAAAATGGCTTCGGATAAGGTACGGATACATGTTTGTAAATTAGATCATTTTATACTTTACCACAAATTTGAAAAAGTAAAGTGTAAAGTATAAAATGATCTAATTTACAAACATTCGTACCTTATCCAAAGCCATTCTTCGTTAATTTTCCTAATATTTATTGCAATAAATAATATTGCCTCGATTTTGCCGCTTGCTGCTTGCTGTTCGTTCGGTTCAACTTCAACGAACTGCGGCAAAATGTATTTTGCGCCGGAAGTGCGTCATCTAGCTTACATAAAATTCTTAACCAATAGTAACGAATTGCTGCTGCAGCGTGCTGCGCATGAAAAAGCACCTTAAGTGTCCTAACCAATTACTGCCTTAAGTTTTTTGTATGCCATGGCCTATTCAAAACATTTAAACTTATTTATGAAGTATTGGTATAATAACAAAAAAATGTTGAATTTAGTACTGCACTATAAGTTAATAATTATTCAGATACTTCTATCGGAGATAAAAAAAATTTGTCAACAGTTGATAATGTCAATGCTCTTCAATTATCTTTGAGTCTTTGAGATCTTATGAGGTCTGTTCTTTTTAGCTAAAGTTCCACATGGATGATGTTTATTAATATTTCGGTGACTTATTTTATGCCTGTAAAAGAAATAATTATAAATGTAAAATTATTATATACAATTATTGTAATTAATATATCGAATTTATTTAATATTATGCTTTTGCTATTTTTGCAGTGTCCAAAATCACTTATAAACACCTGTGGAAGATTGGAGAGTGGTAGTGGCAGTGGTGATCAAGACGGTGGTCAGCATGAGGACGGAATAGACATTGCAGCGAAGAAGAGAAAGACTCGAAGAGGTAAACCCAAGCATAAGAAATTGAAACCATATTCGAAACAGTTATCTTATCAACAACAAATACGAAGCAAGTGTATTGGTATAATTGCTAAAACCAGTAGGCAACCACCAGCTTTATATAATACCACGCAATTCCTTATGGCCGATCACAGTGATTTGCCTGATCTTGAGCAAAAATTATCGGAAGCTGCGTCACTGGAAGTACCTGCTATGTTTCAAAAGCCACCGGCGCGTACTCGCGACTCAAGTTTCAGCGTAGATTCCGATGAGGATTACTTTTACTCATCCCCGGAGGATGAAGAAGAATTTTTAACGAAAGAATTTTCAACTGCGTACGAAGCTGTTCATGAGGAGCGATTGAGCACATTGACAAAAATGGAATTGATACAGGAATATAGACATTTAGAAGCTAAAATGGATTCGTTAACAAAACGACTACGTAATAAGACCATTCATCAAATGGAGGAAAGGGATTCGGAGAATAAAAATGTATCTGCTGCAGATGCCGAGGTAGCGAAGAAACTGAAGCTGTGTCAACAACGGATCGACGACTTACTGCAACAGAATGAGCAGCTAAGGCGAGAGAACGAGATGTTACGTACTGAAAAGAGATTGCGCGCGAGCAGCTCGGAATCTAGTGTCGACAGTGAAAGCGATAGCGACAGTTCTAGTAATAGTAATCAAAGTGGATGTAGTTGCTCTCTTTCGAGTCCAGTAACATCCCCTAAGCATACTTATAAATCTAGATTAGATAATAATATAAGAACAGATAACAAAAGCGATAGCTGCGATACTAGCCAAAGTGGAAGTCCCACAACATCTATAACACCTACTAATTTCTCTAACGGTCATGTAATTCTGAATGAAACCGGTAGTTTACCCACATAGATTTCGAAATTGTTCCTTTGTACGTATTGATATTATGTTCGATATTACAAAATTGTCAGAATAATGCAGGCTGCATCCATTCGATATATCTACAGATTTAAAAGAAGCAGATTTTTCAGTCAATTTTGTTGTCAGACAACATTTGATCTTTCTTCTAATATCTGCTAAAATCCTGTTAGGCTATCGTTTAATATCCCGTTACTATTTCCTGGTTCAATCTTCTTTCCCTTGAGGCTGTATGTATGTACAGTCACGTGGATACATATATGTGTAACAATATAAATATAAGATTAATATTCTATAGGAGAACTATTCGTATCTGTTTGTGCTATTTTGTTATCTGCTTGACAAAATATTTATCATACCTATCGTGTATTTGCTTCTATCTCCTGTACGTAGTATCGTACACATGGAATTTGTATTTTTCAGCCTGATTTATTTTTCTTTTTCGCGTACTGCCAATTACGAGAGTTATGTTTGCAAATAAAGGTCTACAGACCATCAACTAACGCAGACCTATGTACATATAAGCATGGGTAAAGTGAGAAGCAGGTTCTTTTAGACTCATTAGAAGTATTATATGTATAAAATGTGTAATATTATCAAATGTGATGACCTATATTGTAGGAGGTTAAAAATCTTTGTACAATTGTATAGTTTTTAGACAGTAAGACGAAATGTTAGTTTATGGTCTGAAATTGTAAGATACGCAAAAGTGTTTGTCGCATTTCCAATTTTTAATAAATTTTATGTTTTCCTCCTATATGGTACGTTTTAATTATAAACAATGATGTTAGGTTTTTTTTTTTAAGACTTACGCTATTTTCCCTTATTCCTAAATTTTTCCTTTATATACAGATATTTTTAGAAAAATTAAAAATATTTTCTTAATAAAAACATGAACAAACTTGTTAAATTGTATGGATTATAGGAACTTGTTCCAGTATAAAATCAAAATTGAGATCTTTGGTTTTTTTAATAGATTTTCATTCTGGCCTATATTCAGAATGCGCTAACATGCTATAGTTTATGTCACGTATACTATAGAATTTCAGAGATAAAAGCGCGCTTTTATCGATAAAAGTGCGTTCTTCTATATACATATCTAAAAAAAATCTACTAAAATGGAAACATATGCTGGATTCACACTGCATCCGATATGCGTCGTACGGCGAATCTGCAACTAATCAAAAAACAGGATTTTGATTCGCATCGATGATAGGATTTTTCTGATTGGTTGCAGAGTCGTACGACGCACATCGGATGCAGTGTGAATCCTACCATACTGTACTTTAAAATCTAATTTTTAGAATTAGAAAAAGATGAAGAGCAAATTGAACCGAGATTATAGTTAATCCGCATTGGTGGAAATGGGCATAAGGGCTTTTTCACCAACCTCGGTTAAGTCTAACCGATAATTCCAATGGAATTATCCAATCGCATTTGTCTTTGACCAGAATGAACCAATCACGGTTCACACTTAACCGTCGGTTAGACTAGAGTCCCTATAATAAAGAGTCTGGCCAAGTCATTTTTAATTCTATTGGTGCTGACAAAATATGGCGGAACCAATAAGATGCCTCAAATATGTTCTTTACGCGCGCTATTATTCAATTGACGGGAATGGTATAATAAAAGAATAAACTTATTTTTATTAGTATGGAAAATTCCTCATTGAAAATCCTTTTTTGGTACTATTAAAGCAATAAGGCACGCAGCCGGGCATTTTCTATAAAATTTGTTAGTTATAATGCACATTTTGAATAGATACAATTTTAAAGGTTAGAAATCAATTTTTATGTCAGCATGTATAATTTGTTTTCTATTATACTGGGATTGAACTCGAGTCTACAGTACAGAACATGTACTAAGGCTGCGGTCGAGTTGTCACTACGAATGCTTTGAAGCGTTTCTTGATTGGTCAGTTTGTATAACTCTTTCTTTTGATTGGTCAATCAAACGCTTCAAAGCATTCGTAGTGGCAACTCGATCGCAGCCTAAGAGAAATGAAAGCTGTGTTCATAAGATGGGCAACAAAAGATGAGACACTGCCATCTGGCGGTGGAGTGCGTACTAAAGTGAACTGTAGGGAGGGGGGACGAGAATTTAAATCTTTTCAATATTAAATGCGTTCCGTTACTCACTGCGAGTACTAAAAATTTATAGTATACGTAAACTATAGATTCAATACTCGCAGTAAATAACGAAATGCAATTAGAGTTTGAAATAGCAATTAAGTGATGTACATACTACATACATAAACTTATTACAGCAGTTACTACGGCGTCGTCACGTCGCAATAACGCGCGTCATGAGAACCCTTAGTCGTCAAAAGGTGCAAAATGACGAACAATCGAGACGAGCTCACGCATCTGTGTGATGCACAGTCAAAGTCGGCAACACTTTCAAAAATATACAATGGAAAGCACCCGAGCTGAAACGCGTCCGTAAAGGTGCTTTTTCATATGCAGCACGCTGCAGCAGCAATTCGTTACTATTGGTTAAGAATTTTATGTAAGCTAGATGACACACTTCCGGCGCAAAATACATTTTGCCGCAGTTTGTTGAAGTTGAACCGAACGAACAGCAAGCAGCAAGCGGCAAAATCGAGAAAGCGTACAATATGTCCGTCGTTTCATTATAAAAATATTATTTATTGCAATAAATATTAGGAAAATAAACGAAAAATGGCTTCGGATAAGGTACGGATACATGTTTGTAAATTAGATCATTTTATACTTTACCACAAATTTAAGAGTAAAGTGTAAAGTATAAAATGATCTAATTTACAAACATTCGTACCTTATCCGAAGCTATTCTTCGTTTATTTTCCTAATATTTATTGCAATAAATAATATTGCCTCGATTTTGCCGCTTGCTGCTTGCTGTTCGTTCGGTTCAACTTCAACGAACTGCGGCAAAATGTATTTTGCGCCGGAAGTGCGTCATCTAGCTTACATAAAATTCTTAACCAATAGTAACAAATTGCTGCTGCAGCGTGCTGCGCATGAAAAAGCACCTTAACGGTCGGATGATTCGTCGAAACTGACGTTTATTATTGGTGGAAATGACGTAGTGTCATGTGCCATTTTCTAATTGGTCACTTCAATTCCCACTTTCGAGTGTCCCTACTTTTTCTGTGTTACTGGAAATCACAATACTAGTTTCACTCCCGTTGGTCTACAGATCGCGAGTCAATCGCACTGAGCACTGTGACTCGACGCCACACATTGAAATACGGTTAGTATATTATACATTCTACTATTAATATGTATATTTAAAAAAAAAATTTACTAATTGCGCGCGCGGTGGACGCATAATTGTAAATCGTACAAATTATATAACAATTGATTTATATTACAGAGAGCTAGAAAAACGTATTGAAAAAGATGTAAAAATTTTAAATGAGATATATATGAAAGAAGGAAGCACAAGTCCCCACATATCGTTAATTCATACAGGGCACGCATGTTCGTCTCCTCAAGTTTTTCTAATGGCTTTAATAAATCCCTGGGGGTCGATTCTGTATCTCGAAACAAAGTGAAAATTACAAAAGTGAGCAAATTTACTAGGTATTAGCTAATGAAATTATAAATGTTCTAGTAAATTCGCTCACATTTGCAATTTTCACCTTGTTTTAAGATACAGAATCAATCCCCTCTGGGCAGCGATCATGTAATTTCCAGTGGAACTTTTCACTTTTCACTTACAATTAGTGATTTCACGCTAACTTTTCCACGAATCACAATGCGATTATATAACTAAATGAGCGGAAAGTGAAATTACCAAAAATGAGAAATAACCTCTTATTTATCTTGTAAATTACTGATAGATATTAAACGGATAAAGCAATAAAACTAAAAACTATTAATAAATATAATATCGATGTATATATTATGAGTAACGTGATAATAATGAAATGTAAATGTTTATCATTTATACTTATAGAAATCTATATAATCTTAGAAATATCATCCCAAGGAGAACAAGCAATCAAAATAATGTCAATTTGACATTATTTTGATTGTTTTGTTTTCCTTGCGGGATCATAACTTTAGAAACTAGAAACGTTTCTTGCATCTCAATGTTCTAGTTTCTTCGAGTCACTAAACTTTCACCTTTCCGCCAGCAAATTTGGTGGCGGAAAAATTCACGTGAAAAGTTTCACGTTTCAACGTTTCGCCGAGTTCTATGATCATAAGTTCACGTGAAATCTTTCACTTTTCGCCTTGCCGCTTTAGGGGAAAAGTTACATGATCGCTGCCCAGAAGATTCCATTCCTGAAGAACATGTTTTAAAAACGGATGCGACCGTTAAAGATTTTCGATTTGTTAGTTTACTTGATGACCAAGAAGACTAGAACCTGCTAGAACGCCTAGAACCAGGAGAGTCAACCAGAGTGGTGGGGGTAAGTCAAAAAACGTCCGCGGTTATTCACACAATGCGCAGTGGCATTGCACATTGTGTGAAAGTTTGCGCATCCACGCATCGGTTATAACCGAGAAGTTCCAATGAATCAGACAACATATTAAATCAGATTTTTACGTACCTCACAAAATTTGAATACTGTTCTTCGATTTTCTTTATCTTGAGGATTGAAACCATTTTTTACACCGTTTTATCTTCAGTTCTTCTTGAGTCGAAAATTCAATCAAACAGAAACAAGGTTTGTCTGACATGCGCAGTCACGAATTGAAAACGACTATCAGAGCGACAGAGAGGACTAATGAAGCGCAAGAGTGGGGGAAGTTATCCGCCCTCACTTTTTGCCTCGTCCCCTCTACCGCTATTGGCACCGAGTTGACTCTCCTGGTTCTAGTCAGTTCTAGTCTTCTTGTTGATGGATGATGACTGCAATCAGTTTTGGCCATAAGCGTGCCATCCTCGTGATTTACATATATGTGTGTTAGTGAGTCTGTGAATCGGTGTATCAAGCTGCTTACTAGTGTTCGTAGCAAAAAGATTAGTCCCGTTCGGGCAGCTATCAGGAATGCACGCGCGATTTTCCGTTCTTTCCGGCGTAGCCAAACTCAGATTATAGGAACTCCACAGTAATCTGCACGTGTTGGGTCCTCCGCTTTGCACAGCAGTCTATTACAGTCTATTACTTATATTATTAGTTTTACATTTTTAATAGAGAATTTTATTTGGGACGTGATCTGACCGTACCGACCTCCTACTTACTGTTTGGAAGCGGGAATCATTAATTCAAGAAGAAGAAGATAATACTAAATGTAATCGGTATGACAAATTTCCAAACCTGAATAGTCGTCAACTTTAACGCTTAATATCTCGGTTCGTAGGGCAGAGCGACACTCTTTTTTTTGCCAGATTCTTTCATTTCGTCCAAAAACGCGTCGAATCAGCCTAATTTCATTAAAATCGGTGAGGTCGGAGCTTATATCTTCATAATCGACGAATATCAAATGTTAATTTTTATCACATTATCTGTTTGTCGTTAAAAATAAACATCAAGTGTCATTATGAAAAAGTTTTTTTCTATTGCTTCTGCACCCTGGACGCTGCACGGTAAAATGTGATGCGGCCGTTTGCCATGTTTTGCCACGTGGCAAGCGTTTCCGCGTCCAGTGTGCTGGAGCCATTAGTCATTGGCCAATGGCTGCGTTCAGCAGACTCAACAGTTTCGCAACCGTTTTATGATTCATCTCGCCGATTGGATTATACTTTTAGATCTAAAGGAATAGTCCTATCTCAGCAAAGAATCATAAAACTGTTGAGCTGTTGAACGCAACTATTAATGGTCACGTTCAGGGGGGTCGATTCTGTATCTCGAAACAAAGTGAAAATTTCAAAAGTGAGCAAATTTACTAGGTATTTAGGGAGAGGTAATTAGGGAGAGGGGACATTCAGATTATATATATATATTAATAGAACGTTATTTCCTACTTTGGAGAAATATTGCGAAGAATATCACTACGTCGACTCGCCATCAGAGGTCTATCGATATTCGCAAATTCTCGCAAGTGCTAAGACACGCGTATATCTCTTTATATAGAATCTCGATTTAATAACTTATCAAGGCGTATAAGGTAGGCTTCCACTACAATACCTTACTGATGAGTCCAGTAGTGGAAACCGGAACGAAACGCCAAACACATTACGTGATATTCTTCGCAATATATAATATTAGAATAAATTATTAGATTTAGATTTTAAATTGTAACTTGACTCTTATTCGCCCTATTTAACGTGTTAATTATTATTACTAGGTATTGACCAATGAAATTATAAATGTTCTAGTAAATTCGCTCACATTTGCAATTTTCACCTTATTTCAAGATACAGAATCAATCCCCTGTGTTCAGCAGATTCAATTGTGTGGAGCGGATCTGTGAGCGCTCCCTATTGGTGTATTCTTTTAGATCATCCAATAGCAGAATTTCGAACGAACGTTCACGGATCCGTTCCGCAACAGTCGAGTCTGCTGAACGTGACCAATGATGTTCATCGATTCTCCATACATTGTAAAGGGGTCTGCAGTATTTGAAGTGTGACCAACTTCATGGCGCGATAAATTGAAAAACTGGAGCAGCAGAGCGCGGAGCGCTTGGAGTTGAGATCTGTGGTTATTAAAAAGTGTTTGCAGCTTTTAGGCCATATATTATGAAAGCAATGTCTCATCATTACGTAGTGACGGCACATAAACCAACGGCTGTCACTTCGTGCGTGACTGGTAAGTGATTAAATTCTTAAATTTGCACGGCGAAAGCTTTATCACTATATAATTACTTTGTGCTTTCCCAAGGTAATTTCACTTCACCCACGGATTTGAATCTGATATTAGCCAAAAATGTACGATTGGAGATATACCTTGTGACACCGGAAGGCCTACGGCCTTTGAAGGAAGTCGGGATCTATGGCAAGATTAGCGTCATAAAATTCTTCAGACCACCGGTAAGGTTAGCTCCATGCTAACGTCTGTTTCCTTAGAAAGCCATGTTTACACTTGTAATGACTGGCAGTTATGTTTGCCGTTTGCTAATAAATTATAAAGAAAAGTATTGTTTATATACATATACAATGTCTAGTGACTACATAAATTACTTTTGATGTACACAACACATACATTCGTATACACATGTACGTATGTGTATATAAATTTGTACGTTTAGTATATTAATTATACTAAATACATTTTATCTCTCGTTTCTGTTTAACGTTAGCAAATAACAAGCAAATATAATGATTCGTTGTATTATGCTATGTTTTTATTGAAAAATATCGTATGTATATAAAACATACATTATAAATAAGTCTTTTCTTAAGTTGTTGTTAAAGTGTTATTAGTAAAAAATATGAAAAATCTATGAAAACTTGTATAAATATTGTATGGCTGAGATATTATATGAAGGATTATATTAAATATAGATTTAATTGAGAGAGATTAAATTGCACAGTGATACTTAAAACAAATTTTTTGATAAAATATATTTTTTGACAGCATGAGAAAAAAGATCTTCTATTTTTGTTAACAACACGTTATAATGCCATGATCTTGGAATGCATTGGTGAGGGAGAAGATATAGAAATTATAACGAGAGCTCATGGGAATGTAGCGGATCGCATTGGGAAGGCTTCCGAGACTGGAATTAAAGCTGTTATTGATCCAAAAGCACGAGTAATTGGTCTTAGATTGTATGATGGCCTCTTTAAAATTATACCTTTGGACAAAGATAATCCGGAATTGAAAGCGTCTTCAATCCGTATGGATGAACAGCAAGTACAGGATGTCAATTTTCTCCATGGATGCGCTAATCCTACCTTAATTCTCATTCATCAAGATATCAATGGTAGACACGTAAAAACACACGAAATTAACTTGAGAGATAAAGAATTTGCCAAGATACCATGGAGGCAGGATAATGTAGAGCGAGAGGCTATGATGGTCATTCCTGTACCTTCGCCTATTTGTGGTGCAATTATAATAGGACAGGAAAGTATTCTGTATCACGATGGTGCCACATATGTTGCAGTGGTGCCTCCAATTATAAAGCAGAGCACTATTACTTGCTACGCCAAGGTAGATAATCAGGGATTGAGGTATCTATTGGGAGATATGGCTGGTCATTTATTCATGTTATTTTTGGAGCAAGAAAAGAAGCCTGATGGATCGCAAGTGGTAAAAGATTTGAAAGTCGAGTTGTTAGGAGAAATCAGTATACCCGAATGTATAACTTATTTGGATAATGGAGTAATATATGTTGGTAGCCGCTTAGGTGATTCTCAATTGATCAAATTAATTACAAAGGCAGATGAAAATGGATCCTATTGTGTACCTATGGAGACATTCACTAATCTGGCGCCTATTGTCGATATGGCTGTAGTAGATCTGGAAAGACAAGGCCAAGGGCAAATGGTTACATGCTCGGGTGCTTTTAAAGAAGGTTCTCTAAGGATTATTAGAAACGGCATAGGTATACAAGAACATGCAAGTATGGATCTACCAGGGATTAAAGGTATGTGGGCTTTAAAGGTTGGAGGTTCACATTTTGATAACACATTAGTATTGTCATTTGTCGGGCAGACTAGGATCTTAACTTTAAATGGCGAAGAAGTCGAAGAAACGGATATCCCAGGTTTTGTAGCGGATGAGCAAACGTTTCACACGGGTAATGTTACCGACGATTTATTTATCCAAATAACTTCGACTTCTGTTAGACTAATCTCGTACGAGAGTAAAATAGTAATTTCTGAGTGGGAGCCACAAAACAAAAGGACTATCAGTGTGGTAGCCTGTAACGGCATGCAAGTCCTTTGTGCAACAGGAAATGATCTGTTCTATATCGAGATCGTATGCAATCAGATTGTATCCAAAGGATTTGTTACCTTGCAACATGAAGTAGCATGCTTGGATATCTCCCCCTTAGATGGCAACGAAGCCAAGATTGCTGCTGTTGGACTTTGGACAGACATATCTGTTCGAATCTTAACTCTGCCCAATCTAGAGGAGATCAATAAAGAGCTTCTTGGAGGCGAGATTATACCCAGATCCATCTTGATGACCTGCTTCGAGGGTAACACATACTTACTTTGCGCGCTAGGTGACGGCAGCATGTACTATTTTATTCTACATCGACAAAGCGGTATGCTCTCGGACAAAAAGAAGGTCACCTTAGGCACTCAACCTACTGTTCTCAGGACTTTTCGATCACTCTCTACGACGAATGTATTTGCATGTTCGGATAGACCCACTGTTATATATTCTTCAAATCACAAGCTTGTCTTCAGCAATGTCAATCTCAAAGAAGTAAATCACATGTGCTCTCTGAATGCAGAATCTTACCCTGATAGTCTTGCATTGGCAACTGACAGCACCGTTACTATTGGTACAATTGACGAGATTCAAAAATTGCACATTAGAACGGTTCCACTTGGGGAATCTCCAAGAAGGATCGCTTATCAAGAAAGTTCGCAGACCTTTGGCGTGATTACCATGCGTGTCGACGTACAGGAGAGCAGTGGCGCGAGCATCGTCAGGCATTCTGCGTCTACTCAGGCGGCGTCCACATCCAGTAGCAGCCACGTTGTTTCACACAATAAACCCAGTGGACACACAGCCAGTGAGATTGGCCAAGAGATTGAAGTTCATAATCTTCTCATTATTGATCAACATACATTCGAAGTTCTTCACGCGCACACGCTGATGGCCACCGAATATGCATTATCATTGATATCAACAAGACTGGGCGAGGATCCGACTTCTTATTTCGTGGTCGGGACCGCGTTTATAAATCCCGATGAGACTGAGCCCAAAATGGGCAGGATACTGCTATATCATTGGAGCGAGGGAAAATTCACGCAGGTTGCAGAAAAGGAGATCAAGGGTTCGTGTTATTCCTTGGTTGAATTTAATGGTAAACTCTTGGCGAGCATCAACAGTACTGTAAGATTGTTTGAATGGACTGCGGAAAAGGAACTCAGATTAGAATGCAGTCACTTTAACAATATCATAGCCTTATATTTAAAAACCAAAGGCGACTTTGTCCTTGTGGGAGATCTGATGAGATCTCTTACGTTGCTTCAATATAAAACTATGGAGGGCAGTTTTGAGGAAATAGCTAGAGACTACAATCCCAATTGGATGACTTCTATCGAGATATTAGATGATGATACTTTCCTGGGCTCTGAAAATTGCTTCAATCTCTTTGTATGTCAAAAGGATAGGTATGTTTACAATAACATTATAAATTTTGTATGTTTTTATTGTGATCGAAACGAGTTCTGTTGACAGCTTTTATGTTTTTACATTTGCAACCTTTAATTTTCTTTTTATAAACATTTTTTTTTAGAAATCGTTCATTAATTAATGTCGATCGCTTTTATAGAGAACCATATGTCATCTCTTGATATGATTTTAATAAAGCAATTTTAAATATCGACAATTGTTCTTTCTAGCGCTGCAACGTCCGAAGATGAAAGACAACAAATGCAGGAAGTAGGTCAATTTCATCTGGGTGATATGGTCAATGTTTTCCGGCATGGTTCGTTGGTGATGCAAAATTTGGGAGAATCAAGTACGCCGACTCTAGGTTGTGTATTATTCGGCACTGTAAGCGGTGCGATCGGTCTGGTGACGCAAATACCATTTACATTTTACGAATTCCTGCGTAATATGGAGGACAGATTAAACAGCGTGATAAAAAGCGTGGGCAAGATAGAGCACAACTTCTGGAGAAGTTTTAATACGGAATTGAAGATTGAGCAGTGCGAAGGATTTATAGATGGTGACCTGATAGAAAGTTTCCTCGATTTGAACCACGACAAAATGGCAGAAGTCGCATTGGGTCTTATGGTAATTTAATTATGTATTCTTTTATCGAGAATAGCGACCTGAAGTGATTTTTACATCAGCAGAGAGAAAATAGAGCCAATTATAGTATTTTTTTTTTACTAATAAACAATTCATACTTATTAATTTTATTTTTTTTATTAAACAAATACTTTTTTCTATTTATTAAAAGTAAATCTATACATATTAAATATAATAATTTTAAGTACTAAAATATAAATCGTAGAACAATTAATAATATATGTAATTAATGATAGTGACTTTTAATTGTAGTGTAAAAATCATTCTAGGTAATCATTACGCAAAAAAAATAAGTGAACTATATTTCTGAATGATGCATAGCATATGTATATGAATATACATATGTATGATTTATGTATAATATATACATCTGAGCATACTGAATTAATTTTTCTAAATGTCTTAATGTGCTATTTCTCCGTAGATTGACGATGGTAGTGGCATGAAGAAAGAAGCTACGGTAGACGATCTTGTAAAAATAGTGGAGGATCTTACAAGGATACATTAAATGTCATATATAAGTAAACAATATTTTAAATTCATTGAATGTATCTATAAGAATATTAGAAAATATACATAGAAAAGATTTTCAAATAATGATTTAAGCAGGAGCGAATGTTTATACGATTACTTTTGTTATCACTGATGCATGAAAAGAACGACATAAATTTTCTCTTATTTTACAGTCTTTAGCACTTGTAACGATTTTGTGAGAAATTATTTTTGCATTTGTGCGTTAACACCCGTTGCAGTATTTTTTTAGAATCGATTGTATAACATAGAAGTAATATTTGTTTAACATTCGTTAAAATGAATTATTTTCAAAGAATGCTCGAAGATTTTTGTAGCGTAATATCTTTGTATCTTTGTAAGATCGAGAGTGTAAATAAAAATAAATGCATTTTAAGGTAACGTTCTCTCTCGTACGACAATTCATTAGTCTATTTATTAGCCTTGAGCGTAGCCTGTAGCGTTTCCGGATCGAATAGCCAGCTGCGTAAACTCTCTATCCCTTGACCCGTCATACCGCTAGTTTCCAGCACAGTGATCTTCTGTGTCACCTCCTTTTGTAGACGCGCGTATTGTAACATGAGTAAAGCTTCGTTTCTCATCTGACGATACGAAACATCCATCTTGTTTAAAATAAGTGCTATTTTCACATTCCGTAATCTCGGTTCCACGAGGAAAGAATAAAGTAGTACACCTGCAGCACTTATTTGACAAAGATTACTGGTATCCACTACATAAATGATTTTATGAATCTGATAACGATAAAAAAAAAAGAAATCTAATAACTGCAAGTATATCACATATTTATTAAGATGTGATTTTGTTTGTTTTTTTTTTTACATATAGTAAGTACCTTATCAAAATAATGTTTCCATATCGGTGCCATATTACCACCAATTTCTTTAATTACCATATCGAATTCGCCAGTATCATTTTTTACAGTATATATATTTATTCCGTTAGTAGGCACAGTATGAGTCGCGTCGTCGATTTCGTCTCCTTGAAGACTTTTCATCAAAAGAGTTTTGCCTGATTTGAATGGTCCAAGGCAGAGACACATTTCCTTTTGTATTAAAAATTTTTAAATACAAATTATTAATTTTATATTAAGACGCGTTTATGAATTGTCTAATTATAACAGACGTTTACAGTTCTCTTGAGACTTACAAAGGACAATGGATTAATATTGATTTAACAGATCCGTTGCCAGAAGGTCATATCTCTAGCAACAAATCAAGATGTGCGGTTGCAAAACTTATTTTAAATCAATAATTAAAAATGTTTTAATTTGAATTTTCTCTTTAAATGATACTGTCAAAAGGTAAACATAGTAAAACTTCTAATAATCAAAAGATACTATATCTCGAATGTCAAGTGTTGAACGTTTCTATTTATACATACACACACGCACGCACACAACAAACACACAAAATATAGAAAAGGAATATCTAAATTTAAAAACAATGTGTGTATTTTATATATATATACATATAATACGTATTTTGTTTTTAAATTTTGGTTTTTCTTTCCTATTTTATGATTGCAATACTTGGTTGAAGATACACAATTCTATCATAGCCTATGACTTTTCGAAAATAGTACAGCATAAAACAAATTTTTGTATATATACGTATATATATCGCGTGCGCGCATAAACGAGTGAATGTATATAAGTGTAGACGTATAAATTTATTACATTTAAATTTACCATTTGAACGTGTGTATGCATATACACACATACACACACCATGTATGTAAATACCATTTTTCCAAATACGAGAAATATATATAACAAATACTCTTACGATTTTGTGTTTATTGCAAGTTTTAATAAAATTAAAAATTTGCTTTTTCTATGATAATTATAATTTAAAAAAAATCTAAAATTTATCTACATTGTTCTATTTGGAAATTTTGCACAAAAGAATTAATGATGTCTCATCACATTATTTAAATATTTTGGCAGTAATTTTTTAACCTTCTATGCATTCATTAGTTTTACAAACAAATAACACATATATTATTGTTATAATTATGTATCACTCGTTTGCTACGAATAACGACATAAAAATTAGAATTTTTTTTATTACTTGTAGAAAAAATAACAGAAACTTAAAGAAAAAAATTCATACTTTTATTCTTCTAAAATTACATTAGTTATTACATAAAAATTACATTTTAAAATGAATATTACAAAATTTTAATTAAAAATAATAATTCAAAACATTGAAATTTACTTTTTTGAAAATTGTTTTTTTTAGTCATGTCGTTATAACAAATGAGCAATATAGTAAACATTGTATACGATAAATTTACATACAATAAGAATTATATATGAATTCTTTGATAAAAAAAACAGTAAACATACAAATCTAAACAAAGAGGTTATTAGTTTATGGTATAATAATCAAGTAGGACTACTTTGATTTCTCTCACAAAGATCTATGAGAAAGATTCTGTGTACTGAAGCTGTATCTATCATTGTTATCAAGGAAATCATTTCTATGTTTAGACCTGCATGTAACTTTTTTTGGTCAAAGAGTATATAATAATAAATACAGTAATTGTATGTTTATAATAATGAATTAAAAATATATCAGCCTATCATAACTTTAAGATGTAACAAAAGTAACGATCTCTTATCATCTTTTTATGTAATACAAACATAAACATTATTCATTCTTTAATTAATTTTATATTGATTTTCTAATTAGATTATAAATGGTTTGTTACATATTTTGGTACAATTTATTATTTACATTCACTAATGTCTAATGTAATAAAAGTTAAAAGATGGCAGATTGTATCTGTTTCCATTAAAAACACGACAAAATGTTGAATGAAACGTTCTCATTAATGTAAACAAGATCTTATAAAGACATTTCTAGGAACAGAGCAACAAAACTTTGCAAAATACCAACAAAGATCACATTGTTTAACGCAAATTTTATATAAATCTATGAATGCCTATATATTTTGCATCTCAATGTGTATTTTTTTGCAACAACCCATCAAAACATTGATATATCTTAACAAAATTTGTTTAAACATATATCGAGTGTCACATTTTCAAATCATTACAAAGTTAGGAAATCTTTCCAAACCGTTAGGTGTGTACAAAGCATACGTAAAATAATTTCCATTATTACATTCTTTAAGATTAATCTCTTTACAAGTCTGTACACTTTACATATTACAGATATGTCATCTTTTATATATTTGATAACAAATAATTTTGGCGTCAGTACTTTTTCACTATAAATAACTTTTACATACTGTCATAAAGTACTGTAACTATAAATATTTTATTTAGCATGTTGTGCTTTATCTAGCATGTATTTATCAAATATATGATATAAATAAAGCGATTCACGGGAAATTGTAATGATGATATTCATAGTGAAAAAGTTAGAAAATTTATGGATGTATATTATTAAGTCATAACTTCGGTTTCACAAGTTTCTTACTCTACATATTTATATATTTCTGATCAGTTAGGAGTTATTAACTGACCATTTTTCTAATTAATTATATTTAAAGTAGAGAATTCCTGAGCACGCTACAACATTAATAAAGTAAGGCACGCACTTGAGGTGGCATTTGCCACATATGCAAACGTTTGTCTTTACTTCCCGCTATAATCTGAAAGATAATAAAATCGAAAATTTTCGTTAGTGTTTACTATTGTTAGCGCATCAATGTTTTATTTTACACGTTTAATTAAAAACTCGTACAAAAATAGAGAAAATAATTATTGTGATAGATTAATAAAAAATGTTCAGAGAAAGATAACATAAAAGCGTAAGGAAAGTTATTAAAAAATAGAAACTTGCACATTGAATACGTACCTTATTATTTACAACTTCTATACTCAATAACATATTCCCTGGACCGCGTATGCTACATATTAATTCATGATTCTGTAAAGAGATTTATATTAAATCGAATACTATATAATGCAAATATGTTGCAATGAACTGATTACAAATTAATGATTCAAAATATAACGATGCAGCACTCACATTTATATCAAAAACATAAATATTGCCGTCATAACAGCCCGCGAAAAGTAATTGTTCATAAAGCCGCATACATACAATACCAACACCAGCATCGTAATGAGTTACTTGATCACCCATCTGCAATTATATTTAAAAAATGATGATAGAATTCGATCTGTTTAGAAGAATTCAGAAAATTCTTTTAAAAAAGTGCTATTGTATGTGTGTGTTACTTGCCGTAAAATCGAAAACGTTTATGGATGTGCTGCTTGTACCACAATAGATCATATTATCGTGTCGCAATAAACTATAAACAGTAGAATTATTCTGGGCACTAATCATACGAAGAAGTAAACCAGTCAATGCGTCACGTATATTTATCGGTTGATTTCGAGATGCTATGATGAGAATTTTTCTTGGACCTTCGTTTGTTGCTTTAAGCGCAAGTACAGACTTCTCCGAGAAAGGAATACTGTCTTCTTTAATGGCACCAACCTGCAAATAAGTTTGTAATTATATGTATAAACATTTAATATATAAATGTTAGCTAAATATGCTTTATATACACACACACACACACATATATATATATATGTATATTAGATTAGTGCAACTTTTGCATGGATTTAATAGATAAAATTTTTTTCTTTTAAAGTAATATAAATGACTATATCTCCATATTTTCATAAATACATAAATGAGGATGTAGCTTAAAAAATAATTCACCTCGATATGGAAACGCGAAACATGTCCAGATTTTGTTCCAATAAAAATCATACCCCATGCTTGATCCATACACTGAATAGGACTCTTTGTTTGCGCTGGGTTTCCTACTAACGCACCAGTCTGCAAAGAAGTAGTGTTTTATTAGTTTTTTTTTTTTAATTGTTTAATACTTAAACTACCAAGTCTTACCATTATTTTGTAACAACGTAAAGTGCCATCTAAGGAACCAGAATATATAAGATTTTTGTCAACGCCTGCGTGATCTGACTTATAGATATACAAACATGTAACCGCAGTTTTGTGACCTTTATAGATATTCAATATTGTATTAGAGTTTTGACTGTATCTGTATATCTTGCCGTCTTCGCTTGCTGCTAGAAAAGAATTCTCAAAAATCTGAAAGGAAAAAAAAAAAGATTATATTTAGTCTGTCTTGTATAGAATATATAATTATCTATCAAATTGATACCTTGAGGTCCAAAATAGGACCTTTATGGACCGTGTATTGAGTTCTCGCCAATTCATCTTCGTTGCTCTCTACTGTATGTGAAACAGATTCTTGACTAAGATCCTTCTCGCTGCTTTTCGCGATTGGTTTCTCTTCTAAGATTTCGATCTCGGATTTTTCTTTATCGTAGGACTTGGCTGAGTCAAACAAATTTATACTCGAAGCTGCAGTAGGAAGTATTGCCATATTTTGATCGCAAATGGTGTGCTGTATACACGACGAATTACTCGGCGTGGAAGAATCAATAACAATTATTCCAAGTCTGTCTAAAACATCGAGATTAATATACTTAAAAAGAATGGATCTACAGTCGATTAATTTCACTTTGCAGTGTTTCATTTGCCAATCTGTGTGCTGTTTCCTCTTCCTCTTAGTTATCACAGTTCTGTTCTTCAAAACTGCAGATTCTGTAGTATCAAAAGGTCTAGCCGGATCTTCGATCTTAGATTCAGTACTAACTTTCTGACTACTCGTATTTTGCACTTTCTGTGGAACACGATTCTTCTTCACATTGTTTACAACCTTCTCATCATGCTTTGCCCAAGTAGGAGATTTGCTTCTGCTTCTTGTTGTTAAATCACTAACAATGCTCGTCTCTCGTGAAGAACGACCGCTGCTGCTTGAAGTAGCATCGGTTTCATTTATCTTACTAACCTTGTTCTCATTGGAGTTTCTGGTGCTTCTCCGGATCGGTTTTAAAGTGTTGTGTTTACGATGAAACTTCTTGTACGATTCTTTGCTCTTTGCAACAGCTTTATTGGACGAGAATGTAGAAGACGAAGTGTGTTCCAGATCGGACATTTGTTCAACAAACTCTTCATCTTCTAATCTTTCGCTCATTGGATCAATTGAAATGGAATTGCCATTTCTTTGATGATTATTTAGAATTTTCTCACATGTATCGGATTTATTTTCAATATTACTTTTCTCTTCTTCTTTGGCAATTTTAGTGGCATTCTTCACGTTTTGACAATCTTGTTTCACAACAATCGTGTCATTGGAGAACTGCTTGGATTCAGCATCTAGGTTTTTCTGTTTTGTATCCGTTTTTTCCGAAACATTTGAATCATATCCTGTATCTATTATTGCTGTCTTATCATTAGATTCAATGCTGTTATTAGATCGCCCATTCTCAATGGCATCAGAGTTCACAATGACTAATTGCAGAGTAGATGTATTACTTGCGCTATGAATCGCCTCTTCCTTTTCATTTTTGTTCACTGTACGTTTATGTTTTGTTTCATCTTTCTCATCCTTTTTATCTTTTTCCACGGTCGAATTATCAGCTTGCAAAGTACTTTGTGAATTCTTGTCCTTCTCTTCCAATATGTCAGTGTGAGTCGAAAATGCGTTCGTTATAGAATTCTTATCCTTCTCTTCCAATCTGTCAGTGTGAGTTGAAAATGTGTTTGTTGTAGAATCAACCAAATTAGTGTCCATGACGTTGTCCTCCATGTCTTTATTTTTCTGTAATAATTCCAGACTGAGATCATCTTTTATTAAAGTTTTAGGCACGGATACTTTAATATCAAAATTACGCGTTGCAACATTATTGGAATTCTTCACACAGTCACGTTCACGATCTGAAGAACAACTTTCCACTTGAATTTCTTCAGGGGTGACGCTACTGTCAGGTTCCACGTTACGTTCGTTGTAGAAAGTTACTTTGTCCTGACTCACGGCTTTAAAAACATGATTCGATCTATCAGGTACATCTTTACTATCCTGTTGCAATGCAATCTCTTCTATATTTTCTTTCTCTCGACAAGGCCAATCTGAATTGGCGTTTGCTTCAGCGTCAACGAAAATTTGATGCTTATCGGACTGTAGAGGCTGGACTAATATTGGAGAGGCGTTGGACGTTGATGGAGTGTCATTAGGAGTTCGCGCTTCCAATCGTGGTTCAAAAAGATTCTCCTCTTTGTTCTCCGTTACGACGTTCATCGTCTCATCTATGTTCTTCACGGCAGATTCATTGAGATTTGAGTCTTCTTTCCTCTGACTGAGCGTGTCAAGCAAGTCTCGCTTTTGCTGCAGCTTCTCGATGTATAACTTGGACAGGGGCAACTCTTCTTCCTCACCAGTCAATTTGTTGACGGTCTTCAAGAATTTATCCAACTGCTTCTTCTTTTTCTTACGCACGATCGATTTCATCTTTCGCGACTTGAACTCTTTCTCAAGCGATTTACTTAGCAAAGCAAGACCCGATGTTTTCCTGTGTATCTCAGACGCGCTATTTTGCACCGGAGAATCCCACGTGCTGTCGTCATATATAGATAAGGATTCTGGGGCGCTGTGCACGTGCTTGCTCGACGGTTGAGAATTCATCTTCACCACTTCACTAGGTGGTGAAGTATCATTTGATTTGTCAGCATCGAAATGTTTTGCACGTTCGGTTTCACTTTCAGCAAAGTCCCGACATTCTGAACGCTCGTCCGCGCTTTTATCCGAATAGATCGAGCGACTCGAATTGATATTAGCTTCTTTGTCAGACTTCTTTCTAGCGGTTTTGCTCCTTCGCGCTTTATTTCTCACGACGTTCGATTTCTGAACATTTTCAGATGCGTCAATTAAATCCGTTTCCACCTTTTTACTCGCAGAAGTCGAAGCGTGTTCCTTCATCACTTCATAAAAATCTTTCTCCTCCTCCTCTTCCTCCTCCTCTTCCTCCTCCTCCTCCTCCTCCTCCTCCTGCTCCTCTTCTTCTTCCTCTTCCTCTTCTTTTTCTCGCCTAACTGACCGTTCTAGTCGCGGCTTCTTTTTCCATCTAATCACTGGTGTTTTGGATCTAGGTGTGTAATTCATATTCTCATTCTCTGGCGGAGACAAAGTTCTCTTTCTCTCTTTAATCAGTTTCGACGGCTTCAATGGAGATTCGTGCCTGTCTTGTTTAGCATGATTTATTTCACTATTTTGTGACGTTGACGGTATTCTCGACTGATCGGAAGCAGTACAGTTTTCTGTCGTTCCGAGTATTACGCTGTCATTCATCGTAGAATTTTCACTCGGCAAAAATTTACTGCCCAACAGCTCGTGCAATTTTAACTTCTCCGTCATTAGCTTGTGAATCTCGAGATCGATTTCCAACATCCTAGACAAAACAGCTTCCTTCGTGTTGCCGACGATCTTTCCCGATCGTCTCATTTGCTTAAGTCTCTTCACCAAACTGTTCTTTTTCGACTTTTCTTTAGGTTGATGCTTCATTTGCCGTTTGTCTTTCAATTTGTGCAAAACTGCGTCGTTACGTTCATTTTGATCCTCGTAAATTTTCTCTTTCGTCTCGGGAATTTCTTGGCTCTTCTTTTCCTCGTGTACCTTCTCTCGTATTCTCTCGGAATTTACTTGGCTCTTCCTTTCCAATAGCTTATCCAATTCTTTCATCTTTAACAATTCCACGACCGGTTCGCGTTGCATACCGCCGTGAAGATATTTTTCGACGTTAATCGAAGATCCTGGGCACTTGTCGTGGCTAACAGAAATATTTTTACGAACCACTTTACCGCACGTACTGTCCTGCGCCGGTGTTTTGTTTACGTTTGAGCTAACCTGTGCAGTCGTACTGTCGTGAGCTTTTCGCGCGGCACTCGCGCTATTATCATTATTATCAACGATATCGGACGTGTGCGGCTTTCCATTGTTTTGTTCGGCCATGTGCGCAGCCGGCCGGCTGCGTTGGCAATTCGTATCCACCTCGCTCTGCTGCGTTTTCCCCAGCATCTCGGATGCTTCTTTAGTTGCCGTCGGTATATCGTTTAGAGATTTCAAAAAGAGATTCGTCTCCTTCAGAGCAGCCTTCGTCGGGATATTCAGGATTCGCGACGGATCGATCGACGGACACTCATCCGGCGGTGTTCCCGCGAGTAAATTGTCTTCCATCGACGAGATGTGCTTCAAGTCGAACTGACTCCCCTCCGATTTCGATATCTCGCTGCGCGACAAATCTGCGCAGGGCGCAATCATGGTTTCCGGTATTACAGCGGGCACGATGTCGTATCCGGCGCTCTGTTGATCAACAGAGAAATGCATGCACTCGTCGACCTTCGCGTCGAACGCACCGGTGCCCTGCAGACGATCGTCCAAGTAGAATATATCGTTGTCCAGCTGCTCGTCGGGATCGAAGCCCGGCAATTTGTCGCAGGGTGCCTTCTCCGCGGATATATTCGCCTCCAAGTAAACGTGGTTATCGAGATGGTCCGCGCTTTGGCATTCCGGCAATTTCAATGCGTCATCCGAGATCGTTGTTTCTAATGCGTCGGATAAACTGGGATCGGTTGCAGTTCTCAATTTACTCGTCAAATCCTTCGATCGCGCTTCGTTCTGAATAATTTCTTCCTCGTCCAATAACATCGATTCCTTAATCACCAATTCCGCGCAAGACGCGTATCTTTCTTTATTTAATGCCTTGGTCAACTGTTTGTTCGTCTCATTACCTCCACCGATGTCGAGATCGTTGTCCTCATCGTGTAACATGGTCGCGATTATCTCACTCGAGGATTTTCTTACATCCCCTTCTCTGTTTACATCCGTCGCCAAGTCGGATTTATCGCCCGTCTCGCATTCTTTAACCGAGACGAGTAAATTGTTGCCAAAAGCGTTATCGAAATTCTTATTGACGTTAATATTCGTATCCTCAACGTAATCGGCACCAGATTCTAGCGTTTTGTAATCCTGTCGCTCTTGAATCTTTCCGTCTTTGCAACTTATAGTAGTCCCCGTCACGTAATTTATGTCGAATAGGTCAGGCTGCTCGAAGCCCATCGCAGTTTCCTGTAGAAAGCCTTTGAACGGACTACCTGCGCTGTCAGAAGAACCAGCATTGTTCTCTATGTTTTGTTCCTGGAAATTTTCGTTCGACGACGTTGATGACGACTTGGCGGTTTTTTTACCCGGAGGATCGTTTTTATTCGCGCTCGTAGATTTACCTGTATCGCCAAGGATATTTAATTTCATATTATTTTCCTTCGTGTTGCTAGTTTTAGTATTGTCATTTATTAACAAATTTTCCTTACTTTGTTTATCGATATCATCCACTCGAGACATTACATCCAATTCGGAAATGCTGCTACCACGATTAATTGCGTTCTCTGATAGATCTCGGTCTGATCTTTTAATTTGACTTTCGTTCGTGTCGTTCAATGAAAATTTCATATTTTTTATCGTATCAGATTGTTGAGTTTCAAAATCCTTGTTTATTTTTTCTATGCTGTTACAGGTTTTATTTTCAGGGATTTTTAGATCAATTTTAGAAGTTATCGATATATTGAGTTCAGGAGTGTTACAAATATTTTTACGGCTTTTTTTGTCCGGATTCTTAGCACTTGCTGTGTTAACCTTGGCGTGCTTTATACGAGCCTCGTTTCGTGTCGTCTTAGAAGAATGTTCGCGCGTATCAATACTTTCGACGTTATTTACAGCTTTCTCAGCGTTTCCATAAATTTCTAAATTTAATGAAAGTTCTTTCGTTTTACCAACATTGTGCGGCAATACCTTGCCATCGTTATCAGCGTCGCCAGGAGAAATTGTTTTCACATTACTAGTATCTACTATATTTTCATGAGAACTTATCGATTGTATTCCTTTAATTTTTACTTTGTTAATATCATTAATATCATTGATCTCTTTTTCTTGTTCTTTTGTGCTTGTTGTGTTTTTTAGAGGAAAATATATTTTTGTTGAAATTAAATTATCAGATTTTGACGCCGTCGCAGACTTCTTTTTCGCTTTTTGTTCTTTTGCCATTTCTTTTTTCAGCTTCAACTCTTTGCTGCCTTCCGATCGAATATTTTTAAATCGTTTAGGATCAGATAAATCCTTGTTTTGTAATGTCTTATCTGTTACATCGTTCTTAACTTTTAAGCATTTCTTTGTTTTCGACACTGCAATTTTCGATGTTATTACAACGTTGGGCAATGCATTGATTTTGCTAGTATTAGTAGTAAGCGATACTTTATCTGTTGATTTAATTTCATTACTTCTTCGAACGATGTTATCATTATTGATTACGGTACGTTTTAAATTTTCTTGAGAACGTTTCGCTGCTAATCGTGGATCTTGAAGGGAGCTGCTGGATGTAGATATTAATGTAGATTTGTTTGCTGTAATTTCTGGCTCTGTGCTTTTCGGCCTAATTAAATTTTGTGTCGATGTCGCAACATTTTCTGCAGGCTTATTCGATTCCAGTTTCTCGTTCATGCGGCGTTGTACGGTGCGCTCGAAATATGTCTTTATGTCGATCTTTTTGCTGCTACTTTGTTTTGAAGTCACACTTGATACCGACGATGCCGGCGTAACAGCCGTTGATACCTTTGACATATCGTTATCAGTAGCTGAGATTTCAGTTACTGATCTAATATCTTGTATTTTGACAGATTCGGCAAGAGTGCACGCTGTTGCGTCCAATGGTAGCAGTATTGTATCTTCGTCAACTTGAGTGCTTCTTGCCGATGTATGCGCGGTATTGCTTTGATCCATAACACTGTCATAACATGTCGATAGAATAGCGTTATCCTGATTGCAGCCAGCATCACTTATTTCACAGGCTTTATTTAAATCCTCCGTACTTTCCGAGAAAATCGCTGGACTTATATTCCAATTTTCCGGTATGCAAGTAAATACATTCAGAGGAACCTTGTTATCATTCATATCGGATGTCTCCGGCATCTGCTTCAGCTGTGCCTTAGTTTTTAGTTGCGTAGGAGAATCTATCGGTAATCTCTTTTCAGCATGTAATTGAGTATTAATAGGTGTCGGCGGAATTTCTAGCACTAAAGGAGACTCCACTCTATTCTGCGATGCGGGAAGAAAATGTGCCGCCTTATTTTCCACGATCATAAAAGGATTCGAGGCATTCATAAATTCAGCGTCTCTGGTACTTTCTTCTTGACTGATAATGTCTAGTTCCTCTTTAACAATAATTTCTTGTACGACCTGATTTTCTATGACTTCCTTCTTAATTTCCTTTTCCGTCAGTAATTTATCAGTCATTTCGTTATCATTGTCTTTTGCCGAGGAGGACTCGGAGGAGGAGCTCGTCGTTTCCTTGTTTTGTCTCTTCTTTTTCTTATAACGTGCTTTTTTCTGCTTTCGGTTTTTAGATCTCTTTCGCGATCTTTTCGATTTCCGCTCTCGTTCGATCTCGGCATTTACCTCGTCTCTTATCGCTTCGTTCAATGACATTTGCTTGCCTACTTTCTCATTTTCTTTTATCACTCTCAATAACTTTGTAACATTTGTATTATCACTATTATTGCTGCTGCTATTGCTGCTAGTACTGCTATTACTAATTTCGTGATTGATATCATCTCCTAAGTATTCTGTGGTATGTTTTCTATCATCACTATGTCGTCTAGATTTTTTATGCTTTTCCTTTTCCAAACTTTTATGTCTTATATTTGGTGGTTGTTTTGAAGATTCAGATGAATAACGACGTCGTGGATAAACTTTTCTACCGCGTCCTCTCTTATCAACAACGGTTCCTTTTGTACTAACGAAAGGAATACAGGCTGTCAAGTTTGTTTGCATTCCGTATTTTGCTTCCCATTCTTCTTTGGTAAGATTTCTGTATGCGTATGGATCTTCTCGTTCTTTCCTTTTCCATCTATCGCACTTCTCGTCCCAGTGCGGGCTATTCTCCAGTCTCTGTGTTCTGTCATCTTCCACGAATGCTTCTTTCTCCTTGCTCCTCGAAATCGCGCCAACATCGAAATTCATTGTACTTTGTTGCTCCGTACTGCAACGCTTACGTTCTTTTACTGCCGGAGGTGTTTGAATTTTCTTCGTTACTTCTGAAAATATATCATCCAAATCATGTTGTAGAGTCAACAAGCTATTATTAACATTAGAAACGTTAGTTATAATAGGATTACAAATGTCATCTTTTAAATTAAAATCATTATTTCTAGTATTATGTGCCGGTACACTTTTGTTAAATCCCGTTTTTACCGTGTGACCTTTGTTTTTTACATTTTCCTGACTAACATCATTCAATGTTGGTGTTTTATTTGCATATTCTGGGGTTTGGGTTATTACGGGATTGAACGTACGATTTGTATCTTCCAACTGACCATACTGGCTGCTCGAAGCTGCTGTAGACTCGGCATGAACGTCTGGTTGCACATCCAATTGTAATACTTCATTCAAATGATGTATAAACTCTGTAGGTAGATCCGTAATGGATACGATAGTATCGGTGTCCAACATCGCGTTTAACTGCTTCATAAATTCCTGCTGATCGTATAGTTTTATCTTTTCGTCCTGTGCGTGTCTCATCTCTATCGATAATGTAGGCTGTTTTTCTTTGACTAGACGCTTCATTATAATATCGAACTTCCGAAGACTAGTGTTATTCACCATATTGTAGATATCATTCCTACTCATCTTTAGGAATCGACTAATGATCCTGCTCTTCCACGAAGCATCCATTTTAGAATTCTCGTTCGTTTCTACACGGCTCCTCCAATTTTGCACGTTGACTTTTGGAAGTGAAACGCTAGAATGTTGAGATTTTTCTGTATGGATATCTTTTTGTGGCTTTTTATGATGCGATATAATATTTTGGTTTGCAATCTCGGATGATGTTGCACTCTCAGAATTATTTTCATTTCTCTTCAAATTCTTTTCCTCTTCTTTATTATGTTTTGATGTATTTTCTAAATTCTTTTCCTCTTCTTTATTATGTTTTGATGTATTTTCTAAATTCTTTTTAGTTATCAAATTTGCTGCAAATGATTTTACTGGTTCTGCGGAATGTGTTAATCCATTTTTTTTCTCAAGATTTTCTTTCCATGATGAACTGGTACTTACTACTTTCGTTTTATTATTCAAGTTGAATACTACTTTAGGACGCTCTTCATTCATTAACGATGAATCATCCTTAAATGTTGCATTTGCATTTTGTATTGTTTCTTCCGGCGACGGCTGGTCTGTTGTAGTTTGTTTCTTAGGTATTTTTGTCTTACTACTCGTGTCATCTTCTTTTATCTTTTTTTGCTTTTTAATCTTGGTTTTTGGCTTTCCTGGAGGCAGTGCTATAAACTCTACACTGTTAGCAGAAATAATTGAGGTACTGCTTTTGGAAAGAGATTCAGAATCTAGCTTAAATTCTTTATCTGCCTTTCCTGTTTTAGTTGTCATTTCTTTTGCAAATCTCATAGCTTCCTTCATATCGTTTAAACCATCATCTTTGTTTACGCTGCAATGTAAATTAGACGACGAAGAGTGCTCTGGTAATGAAGACACACAAGTATTATAAGAGTTTGCATGTACTTGAGGCAATGACGGAATGTGTGTATTCATGACAGGATTACTGGACAGCATAGGAAACATTGGAGGAAAATTTACCGAATCGATATGAGAAGGCATAAAAACGTTACCTTGATTGACTATTTCTAATGGTAATTGTTGAGGCATAAATCCTCCATGTGTATTTAAGCCCGCATGAACATTCATATTATTATAGACGGTAGGTATTGGATTTTGACTATTACTCCATGGAGGATTTGCGTCTTCATGGGGCATTTTTGTTCCGAATAAACATTTTATATTTGGCGGTGGTTCAGTAGGATCAAATAATGGTAAATCAGGAATTGAATATGGAGACAAAATACACGGTTGATCTTGTTTTAGTAATATTGGCGGTGGAGTAGTAGGATCAAAATCAACAGGCAACTCCTGCTCCATATTTGGAGACAGTTTTGGTGGACTACTCTGAAAAGAATTGTCCTTCATTTTTGGCAATTGATTATCTAATGTGAGATTACTTACTGATGTATCGATTAATGGCGTTTCTGTCAATGTACAATTATTGCTATTTGAATTTTCTGCATAAACATGAGAATTTAAAGCACTTTCTTGAATATTTAAATTTGTAAAAACTTCCTCTTTGTCTTGTGATACGTCTCCCTGCAACATGTCCTGATCCGTTGAATCAACTGGAAATGGTACAGCAACTTGTAAATTTAGTGTTTCAGACTCATCTGTTTCTTGTGTAATATTTGTGGAATATATTTCGATTTCTGGTGAAATATCCTGTTGATTATCTTGCTCTTGTGAAATATTATCCAGAGGTATATCATACTGGTATTGAAAATCTGATTGTAATAATTCATTTTCGATACCGTTATCTCCATGTAGATCTGATTGCTCCAAATTCTGAATATCATCAACTGGTTCTTGCAGATCCCAGTTTATTCCTTGTCCATTCTCAATCCATTCTTTGTCCACTTCCATGTATTGATTATCATCCGATACATCTTTCAGATTTATTGCTATTTGATCGCTAGATATCATTAGGTGAGTTTCATCTTTGTTCTCGTTTAACATTATTATATCACTATCTGTACTATTGGCAATATTAAATTCATTTGTCATATATTCCGTATTATTAGAATTTATTTTTCCAATGTCTTTTAAATCATTGTATGTCAAATTGATTTCAGACGATTCGTATCCTATTACAGGGATACGTCTCTGGACATTATCCTCTGTAATCTCCTCAATGGCGTTAGATATGTCTTTATTGTAAAATTTTGGGATGTCATCGCTGTGAAAAGAAAAGAGTTTTTGCTTCAATCGATCTGCTGTTTCAATTATTTTCTGCTGCCGTTCCTCTTCTGAGCCGGGCAGAGGAAGTTGTGGTATAGCTTCAACCGTATTGATCTCCTCCTGTACGAACGGCTCTTCCGGCAACACGGGCGTCTCCTCAAAATTCGGAGGTAAGGGCAATCTATTAGGGGCAGGAAATCGAACGTCATAATTACAGAATCTCCTTCGCCTACCGTCTGCTCTAAAGGACGGACCGCCACGTAACGACGTGTGAGGCTGAAAAAACACATTGTTCGACTGCCAGGGTGCGCCGAACTGCGCGGGATGTCCTGCTGGAGCTGGATGTCGGAAGGGTGGACGTGGAAATCGGGGCCTGCCGAAGCGGCGCGTGGCACGTGTACCCTGTGGGTAGCCCCTTCCTCGGCCGAAATTGCTGTAACTCATTCCACTCTTTAACCTAACACCTTAGTACGATCGTAACAACAAAGTTCGCGTAGATACAACAACCTAACAACACCGCACAATCTTTGGTAGTTTAACATGCCGTAGCAGCACGCATCTCTTCATCGGGATGCACGGTTTATTGCACTAATCCTTGACGAGATTCTTGCCACCTCGGGTTCCGGCGCGATTCGTTCCTTCCGCAGGCTTGCGTATTTCGGACGTTAAAGATCATCGTGTCTCTACGTCCGCACGTCACGTATTTACCCTAGCTAGTGCTCGTTCTGGATGACGATGTCGCTCTCGGACATCCTAACCTAACCTCTCTCACGCTGGCGAGGACCTACCGACCGCTCCTCGCTCGACGAGAGCTGTCGAGACTGCAAAGAAACACGTGCGATTAGATGAGTAAACATCAGGGGGGGGGGGGGGGGGGGGAGGTGATAACAGTGGTCTACCGACGCGTTTCGCCCGTCACGACGTACGCGACAAACAAACCTATAAGGGTAGAACTCACGCTTTTCACGTCAAACAATCAGATGTTTCGCGCCCCTCGAGTTGCGCCTCCGATTCTTATCTCTCTCTCTCTCTCTCTCTCTCTCGCTCGTTCCCTCTCCCTCGTGAGCTCCCTGTAACGATGTTATTTCCGTCGCGTGGCGACGTCGCCGAATGGCTCTTTTCTTCTTGGATGGCTCTCCGCGGCCTTCCTCGGGTCACTGTGAACGGGTCGATGATCTGACTCTCTCCCGTCGTTCGCGCGATATACATGCAGAAACAACGCGCTACCACCCTAATCGTTCACAACACCACCGTCGCCACTGACGAGCCACTGACTATCATCGACGTTGGGAAACGATGGACGAGAGACACCCGTCGTCGGGTACTGCGCGTACACAACGTACACACATGCGCACCGATATCGCGGTCAACTTGCTGATAGATTCGCCACGCGATTCATTACGCATGCAAGCGCGGGGACGCGAAGAGAGGAGGAGGAGAAGGCGGGGAGGGGAGGGAGGGATGGAAGAAAAATCAAACGGATCATCATCGCGTTTTAATCTAAACGTCCGATCGATTTTTCCGCGCGTACGCAATAATCATGCGAATCTGTAGGGACGACGCGACGCCTCGGCTGTGCTTTTGGCATTTATTACATTTACATCCAATCGAGAGACGAACCGACGAACGAGAGCGCGTTTCACGCTTGGGCACCGCGGCTCGTCTGCTGTGCTTCGCACTCGAGGGCAGAGGGCACCGAGGGTATTTACGCGGAGCGCTATTACGTTCTATGAGCGGGCGCTATCTCATTTGTACAAAAAAAAAAAAAGAAAAGAAAAGAAAAGAAAGATAAGCATATTTTGAAAAATTAAAATATTATAATTTATTCGGATTCTCAGCTTTTAACTGTAGAAATAAAATTTGGGTCAAAACGCAGTTATTTGTGCGTAATTATATATATATATATATATAAAAAAAAAAAAACTCTTTTAATATATTCTAATTTTAACAATAATAAAGTACGGACGTTTCGGCTCGAGCTATCAGAGGCATCTTCAGCGTGATAAGTAAATGTATATACATAATCGATTTATTAGATTCTCCAACGCATGGAAGGTGAGACCGTTATACATATCGGTTGATAGGCCGAGTGACTTAAATCGGCTTCCGCGCTGCAGAAAATGAAATTACAGTAGCCATAGTAAGCGTGGATATATTAGGTATTATATATTTAAAAAAACAACGAATGATGATATTAAAATACGGTATTAAACAAAATAAAAGATGACAATATCTATAATCAAATTATTCCATAAATGAGACTCTCATTTTTAAATTTATGGAATATAATTTGATAGATATTGTCATCTTTTATTTTGTTTAATACCGTATTTTAATATCATCATTTGTTGTTTTTTTTTAATATATAACAAGCGTTATCTTTGTATTTATATGATCATATATTAAAACGTCGAAAAATGTACATGTCAAGATTAAAAATGATATGGCATTTTGTTATTTGCTCTCTTCCTTTTTGATTGCTGGCAAATTCCTTGTTATAAATAATTCTCCATTCTAAGCCTGTTTTTTTTCTTTTAAAATCAACATTCGCCTATTTCCTCTCAGTCGATTCGACTGCACCATTGGTGTTTTTTGCCACTCGCGGCTGAGTTCTGGAGAACCACTCGATCGCGGCGCCGGCGGATATGCATTTCGGTGCTATCGAATCATATTTTTGTTGCCGACTTTGACTTCGCATATGTATCCACCTTTGATTGTTCCGCGAATGTGGACGACTCGTTCGTTCGCGCGTCCTTGCGGCGCGATGACGTAAACGCAGGCGCCCGGTGTTCAAGCGGATTACACCATTTTCGCGGGCATTGCATCATTATCTTTTGACTTTGTTTAATACTTATGGATGTGGTCGTATTGACTCTGATATCACTAGGAAAGCAGGAGCTACATTAAATAAGAAGCCACTCGCTAAAACTGATCGCGATTCGCGTTTGTCGCTTACGACACGCGAATGGAGGCGAAGCCTTTTAAAAAGAACGCCGTATTAAATTAAATGGAAAATCGTGACGGCGAAATGAGTTGCTTTCCACACTCTGTAAAACTTTTAGAATGCGTTGTCAGTCGAAGAAAAGAAATCTCATTCTGAAAGATTGAAAATTGAATTACTTTTTTTTTTTTTTTTCAAGTCTGCTTCAATTTTCACTCTACAAAGTAAGATTCTGCTCCAATTAAGAATTTAAATTTTAGAGAGCACATAATGTAATTTATAATGTGGACAAAAGGATGTCATAGATACTGGATTCAATAATGGATAGTTTTCAAGAGAAATATATCAAAGGTGCACAGAGCACAATTAAGTTTTAAATCTCTGATATACCAATTTATTATTGAGAGCATTGCGTCCACGACATCCCTTGTTCATCGTAAAAGCTACATTATATGTGAAAACCAATTTATTTCACCTTGACCCAATTTTCTACATAATTATATTGGGTTCCGGTAAAACGAGTTGGTTTTCACGTATAATTTAATTATAATGTGAACAAAAAGTGTCCCAGACACTGGTTCAATAATGAATAGTTTTTTGAGCAATGGCACACAAAACAAAGACGTTCTTGCAAAGCTTGTTGTGATATTTTTGTTCACCGCATCGTAAGCTATATTAATCATATGCATGTGAAAAAACCAATTCATTTCACCGAGATCCAATACATTTCCATACAGGGTAATTTATTTTAATCGTAACAGGCAAATATTTCAAAAATATATAATTTTACCAAAACAATTTCAAAAAAAAAAAAAAAAAAAAAAAAAACAATTGTATGGTATAGAGGGTGACATACAATGAATACGTTCCTCTCTATATTATACTATATTTTTATTTAGAATGTTTTTTTTTTTATAAAATTGCATATTTTCGAAATATTTGTCCGTTAAGATTATGCCACTCTGTACAATTAGTGCAAGGCCTTTTCAAATGGAATAAAGCACTAGAAAAGAGAAGGAGAGAGGATTGTCTCTATTATAATCTATCTTAATAAAAGAAACGCTCGCGGGATTTCGGCGAGTAATCTCTCTTGCGTAACTGTAGCTCTCGCTACGAGAAGTCGTGTACAAGAAAGCCATGTGATACGAGTACGATTAATCGGGATTTGCGAACGGCTGATCGCCGTTCGATAAACGAAATGTCGTAATAATTTAATTAACTATAATCCAATGTTACTTCAGTGATTGCAAAAATTATATTTGTATATTATATTTATTCATACTTAAGTGTTTGCAGTGTATTGATCGAGCTCGATGATACGACATAGATACCATTTTATCAGTTCGGGTAAATCGGTTAAACTTTTAAGGCCATTCTGATATTCCTGCAGATAAACAACATAATAATAACATAAACATTAACCGAGGAATGAGTAATCTCTCACTGCAATTCATCACAATTTTATTGTGCAGTAAAATGTACATTCCGTTACGGAGATGTGTACAATCAATATAATAGCAGACATCTTTGGACAACAAATTTCTGTGTGTGGCAGAAGAATAACATCTTTTGAACACGTTTGAACGCCGTACAGATATCGAAACAGTGACTGTTGATTGCTGTACCGCATAAAATTGTTAAAGTTTGAAAAGTCGATAAGAGTAGTGGAATTTGTGCTGAGAAAATTATATATCGTTTCATATTAAAAATTATTTCTGTTTATAACTGAATGTACAGAACTTAACTTTCATAGATTTAATATCTTTCGTATTGAAATTACACGATAAATATCGAATAAAATACATAATTCTTTTTAACAAACTGAACTGAAGTTATTGTACAATACGGGGTTAATTATACAGTAAGATAGTCGGATAAATACATATATAGCTTTGCAGCTTTCTGTAGAAAATAATAAATATATATTAGTATATATATGTATATAATATATATATATATAATATTTTACAAAATACCTTATATCTTATTTTCCTTTAATTCTTGGAAATAAGTGCTTGTTTGTAAATCTGGAGAAATGCTATAAGACCAATATATGTTATTCTGCGTAAATGTTAATATATGCAAATATTTGCAATATCTTTACATAAAGAGATATACGTAAGACTAAATCATTATACAAAAAAACAACTCGGTGTGATGGAGAAGTTCAGGTATTTTGTTTTCAGTATTATTTTGAGGTTTATATATTGAATAATTTTTCTTTTTGGAAAAATAGAAAAAGAAAAAATTATTCGTCTCACCTTGGCGAAAGAATTCTTTTTCAATTATCTTTATGAATTCATTAATCTTTTTATTATCCTTATATGCATTCAATTTGTCGCTCAGCCAATTAAACGCGCAACGTATCTAATCATATATTTCGACAAAATTTTGAGATCAGGAACGATTTCTCTTTTATAAAATTAAATAATAGTACGATAATGGTAGTGATATTAATGAAAATGTTTAATTAAGTACATTTAAATACAATCAATAAAAGCAT